TCTGTTTATTCATTCTTTTTGTGTGTAAATATCATCTTTTTTACCTGAATATTTATACCTGAATATTTATACCTGAATAAATAAATATATATAAATATCTTTTGATACATTTTATTTATTCACCAGGGGCACTGAAATGTTAAAATTCTGTGGCAAAATGGTGGTTGGGGGGGGGGTAAGTTCCCCATGCCCTACTGGACCACGTCTGCATTAACTCTATTCTTTTGTAAACATTTAAGGAAGAGTAATTTGCGAGAATGAAATGGGTTTTCTCACAAACAAAACTAACTCAAGGCTGATCCTAAAAAAAATCAGCTTTCAACACATTCATAAAGAGACCAAAGACCACCGCATAAACACACTTGAGCATAAACTCAACTTAAGCTTCAATGGTGGTAAAAGAATTTTCTTGACTACCTGTGGGTCACTTAGACGGTCAAATTTCGGGACTATAAAAAACTTTATACCATCAAGATGACCGGGTAAAGTGGCACCTCGGATGAGCAGAATGAACAATACAAGGTACGGAAATGTAGCTGTGAAATACACAACCTGTAAAAACAAAACACCAAATGCTTTTTTCAATTCATGTTTGCTGCATACTGTACTCAGAGATTTCATTAAAAAAATCATATTATTAAAACAAAAATAATGGAATAGGTCTATATTTTTTTAAACATGCCATTGTAATTGACGGAATAATTTCATCAGGTTTTATTATTCACTTTGTAACAAACTTCTTGCCAGAGACTCATTCAGAGGGGTGAATAAGCAATCTTTAGCTTTGACATCAAGGTAAATCAACTGGTTTATTATACAAAAAATTGTCTTTTAATGAATACCTTTGTAATGAGTCGTAAGGAATATTGATATATACTCACAAATTTTATTGACAGTATGAGTTGCACACTTCAAAAAATAATCTTAATTTAAAGAAAAAAAAAATGTGTAAAGATAACAGAATACTGGTACAGTACATACCTTTCCTGATGACTTAATACCTCTGACAAGACAAAAGAAAACAATAAGCCAGGCCAGTAGAAGACACAGGGCAAGCTGCCACACAACACGGCCTGGTTCATTCATGCTATCTGATTCCACCAACACCTTCTCCCTGCAGATCACAATGCAA